ACCCGAGCTGCTCTGCCCCAGGCGTCCCCAAGTCAGCTGCTGCTGAAACTGACCAGCGGCTGACTACAGGAAGCCCGAGGCAGAGTGTTCTTAAGTTGAATCTGTATGTAAGTCAGAACTGGTGTCCAGATTCAGCTGCTGTTGAAACTGAGCAGTTTCAGCAGCGGCTGAATCTGGACGCCAGTTCCGACTTACATACAGATTCAACTTAAGAACAAACCTACAGTCCCTATCTTGTACGTAACCCGGGGACTGCCTGTATAGTTAGGCAGGCCAAAAACAACTTGAAAATCAACTAGCTAAAGGCACAAAAACTATCAGCAAAAATGTTAAGTACAGTAAAACTCCAGTGGTCCGGCACTCCTGATAGTCCGGCACCACCTGGAACCCAGAAGTGCTCCAGGCAGCTGGACAATTGGAGCTGCTCTGCCCCGAGCTTCCCGGAGTCAGCAGCTGGTCAGTTTCAGCAGCGGCTGAATCTGGACGCCGGTTCCGACTTACATACAGATTCAACTTAAGAAAAAACCTACAGTCCCTATCTTGTACGTAACCCGGGGACTGCCTGTATATGCAATTTATCTATTTTCCTCCGCATTTTCCTGTTGGGGGGAGAGATGCAAAAGACTAAAGTTTTAACTTTTATATAATCAGGTGATAGGATCATTAGTCCTTTCCAACGTTATTTTTTCTCCAAGTTCCAAACTTGCCTGTTCATGGAGCAAGGGTAAACTGAGTAATGATTTTTGAGAAAATTAATATTACTTAGGAAACCATAGTGTTTTAGTAACAATAGGCTTTGACTAAAATGATACATGTGGGCATGATGGGGATTTGTTTGAGATAACGAAGATAAAGGATTTAATATGGGAGGAGTAATTTTCACAAAATTAAAAAAAAATTAGGGAACAACTTTATTTGCAGAAGGTGAAACTTGTATGGCAGTTTAGAAAAGACACAAAGAAGCAGTAAAAAGTAACCAGCACTGACATTTATGCTGCTAGTTATTAAACCAGGAGAGCCTTCGATGTTGGCCTGCTTCAGGGGATTAGAAGAGTGATTTCAGATTGTTGCTAGGAAACGAGGGTTATACAAAATAATGCAGTACCTCACCTGCTGTTAGAAGTGGCTGAACTAGATGTTAAATGTCACAAAGAAAAATAATCTTTTAGTTACTCCTTGTTGTGGCTTCTTTGATCATGCATTTCTGATAGGATCTCAGTTCTGTAAGTTTTCTTTTAAATATATGGAGCCTTTTCATTGCAGTTGGAAGCACTCCCCATTCTGAAAAATGTTTTACCCTTAAGACATGCCATGATCTGTCTCAAGAATTTTTGATCATGTCTTGACATGGTGCTCCTTTACCAGTTGTTCTGTGGAGTTTAAAGTTGTGGGACTAATTCCCCTTGCCTGGTTGCAATTTCAAAAATTGCTATTTGTGAGGAACTGATGGCAATCAGAGATGCCACTTCTGATTCCTGCCTTTCCCAGTGTTTAAATGAGTAGACCTGGGAGCCTTACTGTTAGAATGTTTCTCCTGCACCCTCTCGCCTGCTTCTTATCTCTCAGACTGAAAGCAGAAGACCAGACATCTGAAGTGTAGTCAATGTGATGTTCAGTGGGATTTAGTTCCAAGCAAGCATATTCCCTTTTACTTCTAAAATGAAATAATTATTGGCAGTGAAATATCCTGCCCAACCAGAGATGATTAAGAGTTGTTTTCAGCCATTGCAATGTGGGAGCTCTGCATCAGCAAGGAATTCAAGAGTATTTCCAGACTATGAACTAACTGACCAAATGTGGATGTGTATCTTCTGTCAAACAAGACCACAGTATGGTTTCAGGCTCCTCAAAATACTTTCAACTTCCCAACAGCATCACCTCTGTTTTGCTCAGATTCAGGTTCAGACAGTTGTTCTTCATCCATGAACTGATCTCACCGAAGCATTATGCCATCTTGATGGGACTAGTGTGGTTGTATATGGTAAAGAACAGGAAGAACTGTGTATCATATACATATTGCTTTCACTTGTGTCCATGTTGTCTGACCAATTCACCTTGAAATTGCATGCAGAAGCTGAAAAAGACCAGAGAGAGAATTAAGCCTTGTAGAACCCCACAAATAAGTGGCCTCATGGTGGAGATGGGGGGGTGGAGATCCATTGTTTAGGTGTGTCCCTCCAGAGAGGACTCAAACCATTTTCCTACATTCACTTGGACTCCTACCACTTCTCTTAGGCAAAACAGCAGAATCTCATGGTTAATACTGTTGAATACTGTTGAGTGAGGTCCAGGAGGATGAAAATGGTTGCCTGTCTTCTGTCCACTGACAGGAGGAGATCATTCATCAAATGATTAAAGCAGTTTTGATTCTATGTCCTGGCCTAAAACCAAATTGTGCCTGGTCAAGGGTGTTGGCTTCAGTTAGATAAGCTTTTGAGTAGCTTCTCTAAGCTTACACTGGAATGACGGGTTTGATACTGGGTAGTAGTGGCTAAACACTGAAGTATCCAGGGTGGGGATATTCAGTATTGGTTGAACTATTGCACGCTTGAAGGAAGAAGGGAAGATTCCTTCTCTGAATGAGACACTGATTATTTTGGTCAGGAGATTCATCATGATTCTCTTTCGTGAGCTAGGAAGTGCATAGGCTAGATTCTCAGTTCTTATGTGGGGAGTCCTTTAGGAAGTCCAAAACTTTCTTGATGAGTACATATATTGAAATTTGGGGATGTAGGTGGGGATGCAGGTGGGCACAGGAGAAGCAAATCCATGTTCCTTGAGATAGCATCTTAAAAGTGCATATTTTCAGTGAAATAAGATAATTCTTTGCAACATTTGGTATTTGGCGCCAATGCAGGTTGTAGACACTAAGGATAGATTAAGCAATTTACCATCCTAGATAGCTCCTGGGCATAGGATTTGGCAACCTGAATGAAGGCTGGCAGGAAAATTCTCTTGGCTTGTAATACAACTTCAGAATAGAACTGGAAGAATTCTGTCTGAATCAGCCTTTTCCTGCCATAAGCACACAAGTCTCCAGCCATCTTTCTTCATCTAGTGCAGGATGTCAAAAAACAATTTATATTCTAGAATGTAGTTGAATATATGGTCAGTAATGTTTCATGGATCAAATAATGGGCTTTATTTTGCATTAAGTACCAAAGCTACAGAGAATAGAGCTTGTCACTGCAAAACAGAATGAGCAATAGAAACCCTCTAAGCCTGAAATAATACATTTTTCGTCCACATTACAGCTGTATCCTTCTCCTGCTCCCTTTGCTCTTTCATGTGCTTTCAGCTGTCTCTCTCATCTCTGCTTGTGAGACAAAGTATCTATCTTCAGTTTAAATTCCTCCTTAAAATAGTCTTTTGTTATATTATTCCTAGCTATCTT